TTAGATTACTGTGACACCTAAGTTGTTGACGTTTGTTCATCTCTTTATTTGCTTTCAGACCAGATGCTTATAGAATGGAAACTAGATACCTGTGGTATAGCATCAGAAACTGGTTTATGATTTTCTTATCTGTCTTATTAGAAGTTATAAAAGAAAAAGAAGTGTCCCAAAATCAGACACTCAGTATCCCTGTCATGGATTTTGAGATGGGGGAGAGATGCAGGGTGCTTTGAGCAGAATCCAACTTGCTGTGTCAACCTTGACCTAAATTTTATTTTTTTTTTCGGTCCGCAGGCCTCTCACTGCTGTGGCCTCTCCCGTTGCGGAGCACAGGCTCCGGACGCGCAGGCTCAGCGGCCATGGCTCATGGGCCCAGCCGCTCTTTGGCACGTGGGATCTTCCCAGACTGGGGCAGGAACCCGTGTTCCCTGCATCGGCAGGCGGACTCTCAACCTCTGTGCCACCAGGGAAGCCCAAAAAGCAATCAATTATTATTCAAAAGTCTAACAAAAGCAAAGATTAATTTTCAGAGAGGATCTGAAAGAAAATGATTAGTGTTTTAGATGGGAAACGGTGGTAGCTGTCAATTCTATATATAGAAAGATGACTAAACACAGGCCAGTCCACAACCTACTACTACTACCAAGTCCCTCTTTGTCCATCAAGGTCCCAAATCAGCATAGGGACAGACAAAACATAAACAACTCAAATTAATCTGTGGACCAAATGCTGGTGAGGACATGGAGCAAAAGCAGCTCTCATTCACTGCTAGTGGGAATGCAAAATGGCACAGCCACCTTGGAAGACTGTTTGGCAGTTTCTTAAAAAATTAAACATACTCTAACCATATAATCCAGCTCCTTGTTATCTACCCAAATGAGCTGAAAACTTACTTTCACACAAAAATCTGCACGCAAATGTTTATAGCAGCTTTATACATAATTGCCAAAACCTGGAAGGAACCAAGATGTTCTTCAACAGGCAAATGGATAAACAAACTGTGGTATATCCATCCATACAATGATATATTATTCAGTGATAAAAAGAAATGAGCCCATGCACCACAACTACTGAGCCTGTGCTCTGGTGCCTGTGAGCCACAACTACTGAGCCCACGTGCCACAACTACTGAATCCCACGCGCCTAGAGCCCGTGCTCTGCAACAAGAGAAGCCACCACAATGAGAAGCCTGCACACCACAACGAAGAGTAGCCCCCACTCGCCACAACTAGAGAAAGCCCGCACGCAGCAACAAAGACCCAACACAGCCAAAAATAAATTTATTAAAAAAAAAAAAAAAAGAAAGAAAAGAAATGAGCTAGCAAGCCACAAAAAAATATGGGGGACTCTTAAATACATATTGCTAAGTGAAAGAAGCCAACATGACAAAGCTACATGCTATACGATTCCAAGTGTATGACATTCTGGAAGAAGCAAAATTATAGGCAGAGTAGAACAATCAGTGGTTGCCAGGAGCTGGGGGAGGGATGAATAGGTGGAGAACAGGGGATTTTTCAGTGCAGTGAAACTATTCTGTATGATACTGTAATGAAGGATACATGTCATCATACCTTTGCAAAATGCATAGAATGTGCAACACACAGAATGAACCCTAATGTAAACTAGTAAACTATGGACTTCAGTTAGCAATAACATATCGTATTGGCTCAGCAACTGTAGCAAATGCACCACACTAATGCAAGTGTTAATAACATGGGAAACTGGGGGGAAGAGAGGTGTGTGGGGGTGAATAGGAAGGAACTCTGTACTCTCCACTCCTTTTCTGTAAACTTAACCTAAAACTGCTCTAAAAAATAGTCAATTAATTAAAAAAAAATATCTAATAAAAGCAAAGATTCATTTCTAGAAAAGGAACGTGAGAGTGTTATAAATGAGAAACAGGGTGGTAGATGTAGATTTGAAATACAGAAAGATGACTGAACTCAGGCTAGTTCACAATCTACTACTACTATTGGTCCCTCTTTGCTCATCAAGGTCCCAAGTCAGCAACAGGGACAGAGGAGGCACAGACAACTCAAGATCATCTATGGCCCTGGTGGCCCAGGGCCAAATAACAGAAATACACTATCATTTTAACTAACGGTTTCAATTTTTCTCCTATGAATACTTTACCACAACCTTTAACAGACAGCTACATGAACACATGAGTTTCATCTCTTTAGTTTTTCTTCAATGCACCTAATGTTGATGAGCACCAATAATGCTAGGTAAAAAGATTAAGAAGCCTTACTCTGGAGGGAATCACAATCTAGAAAAGCTCAAAGACTTAACACTCAGGTAGAGAGATTAGAGAATCACAGAAATCACAATCTTGGCCTGAATACCCAAATATCTAATACCAGTTTTCTTAAATCCTCATCTCAGCCGATAGGCCACCATTTGTCCTTACAGAATATCTGACAGAGACATTTCAGCTCAATAAATGATATCTTCTCTTCCTAATAACTTGGTGCTGATCTCATGCTGAGTGAGTTCTAAGTTATGTCTGACTCAGTCTTCTTGCAAGACTCCAGGTTCACAAAACATATCTTGAAGTCTTTTCAAAGAGCAGGTATCTTTGATGAAACCCCAGCTCTGAGGGTCTGCCCATAGATGGATCAGACCAGAGGTTAGGACTACAAGGATATTGAACTTTTCCCTCTGTTGTTGACAAGGCCGCGATATATAAATACACTGCACCCACGCCCTCTTCTGTGGGCATGGTTTCCACAGACTCTGCTGAAGGGGTAGAATTGGATGAGCATGTCTAGATCATGCAGCTGAAGCCTAATGGAGTGGACATTTGACCCAAACTGGGTAAATCAAGTTTCTTCCTGGTAATTTGTAATTTTAACACTGAAATCTGGAGTCAGAAAGCTATGGACAGACTTCCCCGATGGCACAGTGGATAAGGCTCCATGCTCCCAATGCAGGGGGCCCGGGTTCGATTCCTGGTCAGGGAACTAGATCCCACGTGCATGCTGCAACTAAGAGTTCGCATGCCACAACTAAGAAGCCCACATGCCACAACTAAGGAGCTGGCAAGCCGCGACTAAGGAGCCCACATGCTACAACTAAGGAGCCCACATGCTACAACTAAGGAGCCCACCTGCCACAACTAAGACCCAATGCAACCAAATAAATAAATAAATATTAAAAAAAGAAAAGAAAAGAAAGCTATGGAGAACCCCATTTGGAAGGCAATAAATATTTCCAGTTTGAGATTACTAGTGGCAGCTCCAGAATCTCCATTTGGAAGGAGCCTTGGGAGATGCAAGTTAGTTAATGGGGAGTGAAAAAAAGTAGTTATCTCTTGACTCTTCATTCATATAACATTTATAAAAGAACAAAGAACGTCAATTATCTTTATCAAAAAATTGGGGGAGGGGCAGTGCTGATTAAGCTTGTGGGGGGAGGCTAATGACCGCTCCCTACTCTATTCTCAGCTTGGTGTGGCCACAAAGCCAACATGCTGGGCCCCAGGTAAACTGATGAGTAAGCAGAAAAAACTAGTTTGAAGAACCTAGTAGAGAAAAGAATAGCCACAAACAGATAAGAGCAGAGATGAGCATCTGAAAAAGAAGCTTCAGATCCTGACAGCTTTCCAGTTTCCATCAGGCTCTACAACACTGCATGCCTGCCCTAAGCTCCCACAAGGGTTTATAAACAACCTCCCTCTACTTGAGCTTATGTCAAAGGGTTTCTGTTCCTTGCACCCAGAAGATTTTTAATTTTAACTAAGACACCCCACCACATTTAGACTGCTGTCAAGGTCTCCCTCCCTGGACACCTAGGTGATTGCTGATTAATTGGTTGCTGAGGCTTTTGGGAAAAATTTATTTCCATTTTACATTGCTGACTTTGTAATATAAATTATGTAGCCAGGGCTTCCGTGGTAGCGCAGTGGTTAAGAATCTGCCTGCCAATGCAGGGGACACAGGTTCGAGTCCGGTCCGGGAAGATCCCACATGCCATGGAGCAACTAAGCCCGTGAGCCACAACTACTGAGACTGCACTCTAGAGCCCACAAGCCACAACTTTTGAAGCCTGCGCGCCTAGAGCCCGTGCTCCTCAACGAGAAGCCACCGCAATGAGAAGCCCACACACCACAATAAAGAGTAGCCCCCACTCTCAGCAACTGGAGAAAACCCGACTGCAGCAGCAAAGACCCAATGCAGCCAAAAATTAAATAAATAAGTAAATTTATTTGAAAAATAAATAAAATAAATTATGTAGCCCTTGGAGAAAACAGGCCAATAAAAATGATACCCTAAGTCTGTTTTTTAGCCTTTTTAAAACTTACTCAAGGGTAACTGTGGCTTGACCATGAGGACTGGTATTGTTCCCTTAATATGAGGAGTAAACCAAGTCAGCCGTCCACAAATCAGGCATAGGAAATAATAAGATGATGATGTATCAGTTAAAGCAGTGTTTTTCAAAGCATGGTTATCACTC